CCCCCCCAAAAAAACAGCCAGTGATGTCATCGCCCCCCCCCCTCCCCCCGCCCCGCCGCCCACCTCATCGTTCTGAGGGACATCTTGGTACCCGTCGATCGTCACCACGCGCCGGTGGTTGCGGTCCTCCGAGCACACGCCATCCTGGGCTGCATTGTCCGCGCCACGGCGGCCGCAGGAGGGTTTGAGTGGAGATGGACGTGAGCTTGAGCATGCAAAGGGACAGTTGAAAATAGAGTCTGGCTATCAGGAAGAGAGCACCCAAGGTTTGAGCAACTGCCCACGCCGCGGCGCCCCCAGTATTGCCAGGACGTTCCAGGCGTGCAAACTTGGGTTCAAGCACGAGGCGGGTCACCGGGGGCTCGCAGATCTTGGATCTCAGATCTCAGATCACACGCTCACCGGTGTAAGGGTAGTCCTCCTCGTACTCGATGCCGCCGTGCTCGTGGATGAACTCAAAGGCAAAGTCCATGAGCCCGCCCTGAGATTGCGGTGCGGGGTCAGGGACGTGATGAGGGGGGCAGACATGGGGGAGGTGGCAGCTATTGATGTCGTCATGTGTGTGCGCACTGCATGTGGGTGCTGCTGTGTGCGTGTGTTGTCCAATGAAGAATTGGGACCTCAGCATGCAGGTCAAAATGCCGATCAGCCTTATGATGTCGCGAGGCACTCGCACCCCTGCACTTTCCCCTACCCCAGCATCCCTCTGGGGACATCGCCGACACACCCAAACCGCCGTGGCCTGGCCCCGCCCCGTGCAAGACCCACCGAGCAGCCCTTGTCCTGCGCCGTGTCGCAGTCCACCAGGAACTGCTCGCTGAGGGACACCAGCTGCCCAGTGGCCAGCTTGTTGATGCCCTGAGGGGCCGCAGAGTGTGGATTAGAGGGCGGGTCGCGGTGAGCGGCGCGTGTGTGACGGTGCAGTGTGGGTGAGCAGAAAATGAGGATGGTGTAGGTTGAGACAAGCATGAGCATAGCGAGAAAAAGCTAGAACATACTGAGCAGGATATGGAGAGATCTGCGAAGTCGCGACAGGTCAATGCGGAGGAAAGGGGCACGCGGTCAGGACAAGCTTGGGACTGCGGTGCCCTTTTGTGGGAAGCGCGGCGGCGGCTGGGATGGGAGCAGGGGAGCCGGCCGCCGCAGCGGCCGTCCCTGCAGAGCAACCGTCAGCGCCTGTCTAGAGGGCGTCCCCTCCGCGCCGCCGGCCCGCGCCCACCTCCACGGCGCCCGTTGTCGAGAACGCCCAGCAGCTGCCGCACTGCGGGGGGAGCGTGGCGGGGGCGAGGGGCGAGGGGGGGCGGCTCGCACGCGTGGCCTGCCGCCTCTTGCCGCTCCCCTGCCTGCAGCGAGGGTCCCCTCACGCCTTCCGTCAAGCCGTTGCCTTCATGCACGGGCCTGCAAACTCCTGCCTTGATGTGCGAGCCATCCTTCTCCCTTTGTCGGTCACCAGCGCCCCTCCCTGCTCGCGCCGGGCCCATCGCCAGCGGGCGCGCCAGGCCGCATGTACAGTATCCCCCAGTCGCAGGCCCGCGACCCACCGCCGCCTGGTTCTTGACCTCTGCCACCGCGCCTTTCTGCCGCCAGTCCACCGCGGGCGGCAGCTGGGCCTCGTCCAGGTCGCCGTGGGCAAAGCCGTCCACCTTGGCGGACCCGCGCGCGCGCTTGTACCGCCCGGCCCCGAGGCCGTACTGCCGGCGGAACTCGTCGGGCGTGAGGTCAGCGAGGGCGTTCAGGCCCACCTGTCGGGGCAGAAATTCAAACGGGTAAAGGGAGTGTGATACGACGAGGGGGGCGTCTCTGCTGCGCGATGAGGGGCATGTGTTGTGCGAGGTGCAGGCGCGTGGGCAATCGCAGCTGCACCACGCGGATGGCGGCCGGACTGGGCACGCGGTTTCGAGGCGCATGCACCGCTGCGGGACATCCAGGTGCTAGTGCGGTCATGGGTTGTATGGCTCGGTGCCAAACTGGCAGCTGCCCTCTGCTTCCGTTCTTGATGCTGCAGCGGCGCGCACCCAGTGTGACGCATGCTTCTCATTGTAGTCCAAGGCAAACTGCAGGTTGTCCTGCCAGGTGCCAAACTTGACCTCTGCGCCCTGCAGGTTGAACGAAGTACGCATGAGTGCGGTGTGCATCCATGCGTGCAAAACATTGTGAGTGGCGTTCGGAGGACGCGCCCGCGTCAGCAGCATCAGCACCAGCAGCGCATGACGCCATGCGTGCAGCGCGGCTCCCGCCACGACATGCAGAGATGCTCCTGAAGATATAGGCGTTGCTCCCGTTCACATACATGGGAGCACCCCTCGTGGAGCAAGTGTGGGGGTGATCTGTCCAGTTGCCAACTCGCACCAGCAGATCATTGGGGTATCCCTTGCCATACTTAGCCTGCCACTTGGCAAATCCGAGTCTGGGGTCGGCCTGTCAAACGGGGTACAGAGCGCCGGGTGAGTGGCTGTCCCAAACCGAACCGTGCTGCCCCGCGGGCCTCTGGGTGACACTGCTAGACAAAAGTGCGTACCTTGGCCTGAAGAAGCTCCTGGTGGTGCTGCTCACGCAAGAGCGCCGAGTCCAAATCCAACGCGGCAGCCATGCCCACGAGCACGATGCCCAGGAGCGAGGCTCGCAGCGCCATGTTTGCCATGCCTTGCAGCTTTACCAAAAGCTTCCCAAAGCGTGGGCCAGACAACGGCTAAGGATGGTGCTGCTACAAACTTGTACGGTAAAGCGAGCGAGCGGGCGTGCAGCAGCTGCTGTCGTCACCCAGCTGTGCCGGGGCCGCGTGTCCAGAGCGCCACACGGCCACGAAAGCATGAACGGTGTACATTCATGGTAATTAACTACAGGCTTCTAGGTGCAAGGTACATGCGCACGATTGGCCAGCGCTACTTTGCGTTGTAATCCTTGCAAATGGTGATTGAAGACAGCAGAGCGCCCACCAGGCAGCACCAGGTGTGCAGATTCCTGTTATTGGCGAGCAACAAGCAACGAATCCTCGATATGGGTGGCGGACAGGTCTGCACCAAGAGCTTGCACCGCACAGCTGTGCTCAGCGCTCTCATCTCCGCCGCAAAGCTGCAGCGACCGCTCGAGGTCGCGCGTCAGCGCACGCGCCTGTCAATCTGCACTTGCTTGACCTCATCTGACAACCAGCCTGTCCATCGTGACCACGTACCCCCATTCACCTTTGCCGAATCATCCGTAGCCATGCTACCAGCCTTTAATTTACGGGTGTCTGTCTACCTGCCACCACTGAGCTAGATAGTACCATGTTGACATGCCCTGGCCGTCAAGAGGCCTTGGCCGCCGCTGTGCCGCATTCCCATTATGAGAGGGCGACCCCTTGGCCGCTACGGCTATCACCGGCATTGAAGCTGCACCGGCGCTAAAGCTGAAGCTTCCATGAAGCACTGGCCGCCACCGGCCAAGCTCAAGTTTTGGGAGGAGCCTCGGGCAACATGTCAGCTCGAAACTTCCTGGTTCTGACAGAGGATTATCCGCTCAATCACTGCCACGTGCTTACAAGAAGGAGGCCGGTCAGCACCAGGTATGCAGCCTGAAGCCCGGGTATCAGACTTATTCAGGCTGCGTCAGAGGTTACTTGCACTCATCCTCATCAACCAACCTTGAAAACGTTACCGTGTTCAAACACGAAGCGAGGGGTCCACCAAGCACAGCCCTGAGCCTCACAAACAGAGCCATACACGAAGTGGGCAGCAAAGACACGAGGCCGGCAGCAGCCGCCGCTGTCTGAGCAGTAACAGCAGCAGGAAGCAAAAAAGCAAACGTATATGGCCGCGCGTAGCTGGTGTCGACACACGCTCTGAAGCGGCTCCCTGACCCGTCAGCACCAGTGCCAGCGCGGCGTGTAAGGGTCCTCTGAGGGACCCCCGTCCTCAGAGCCGTCCTCGTCATCGTCCTCGTCACTTTCTTCATACTCGTCACTGTAATCGCTGGCCTCGTCCTCGTCGCTGTCATCGCTGGCCTCCAACGCATCCTCCTCCCAGTCCGTGTCCTCCGCCGTCGCCGCGCCGCACACGCGCCGCAGGTTGACGCCGTCCCAGCCGTCACAGGCGTGACGGACATCGAAGCAGTAGGGGCTGTAGCCTGATGAGTACCCCGCGGCTGCCAGCAGCCAGGTCATGAGCTCGTAGTCGGAGAGCTTCCTGCTGATCTTCTCGCCCGCCGGCCCTGGTGGCATGGTGCATTTCCATGTGCGATTTGAGTGGGTGGAGGGGAGCAGGAATGTGCGGCTACCCACAGCCCAAAGCTAGTGGCTGCCAGCAGCCGTAGGATGTGTCCGAGGGCAGAAAGCCAACCCCGCAATTGGGAGTGTGTGGAGAGGAATGGCCCTGCTGACTGGGGGTGTACGCGTTCAGGCAGGCCTGAAGCTGGTGCCGCAGCGCCGAAACGGCTATATTTGCAGTCCTCACCCGTGAACAGGGCGCGCCGGATCTGCTGGATGTGGGACGCCCTCAGACCGAACGTCCGCACCTCGCGGTAATGCCTGCAGCAGGAAAGCAGGGGTGCAAGCATTGATGGACGCACTGGCAGTCAGCGTTGTGTGTAATTGTGCAAGCGGTCTCTCGAGGTTTGTGGGCCTTCAAGTGTTGTCGGCGGCCAGGCAAGCCCCGAGGTGGGCACATCCAGCTCATGCTCGCCCACCGCGTATTGGCCATGGTGACGCGCCACGCCCTGAGCCAGTCGCGGCTCTTGTCGGCCGGCTGCGGCCCGGCTGGGCGGCCCACTGAAATCTTGATCTCTGCAAAGTGCTTTGCCGTAACACCTGCTTGGGGGTTAGCACAAGGGGAAACGGGAGCGGCAAGGCTGGCTGGTGCGGGCTCGCAGCGTGCTGGTGGGCGGCTGTGGGGACTCCTGCAGACTGTCACACCGCCGCAGGCTTGAATGGCACAGCGGGCACGGGAACGCAGGCATGAGCCGTGCTGGCACTCCCGGCTTGATGCACTGCGGCGGCCCTCACCCCCCAGGCAGCCGTCTATGTGAAACCCCGCGAAACGCGCCTTGTGCGGTGGTGGTAGTCGTGCCGGGTGTCGACCACATTTGGGCCGTCCACCGCAAACACGCGCGCCTGAACTTCCAGCCCGCGGACCTCGTCTCCCTGTACATGATAGACCTCGGCCGTGGTGATGACCGTCGTGCGCAGCAGCAGCCGGCAGTCCTGCCGAGCGGCGGCCGGCGAGCGGCAGGCGCCTTGGTGTTTGTTAAAGACTTTTGCGTAAGCGAGATGCGGGCTGCTGGGAGGAAGTGGGCCGAGGCAGCGCTGCAGCAGCACGGTCATGTGCTCCCTCCAGCGCCCCGCATGCCAGTGGGAGCGCGGCATTGTGTGTGGGGGGGGGGGGTGCCGCTGCGGGTCTACTCAACAGGACTGACGAAGGCTCCCTCGCACACCACAACCTTGTTTCGTCACAGCCAAAACCATTGGGCAAGGGGGGGGGCCTGCTTCGACAACCCGCGCCGCCCCGCCCCGGCTGCCCGCGGGCGCGGCGCGCGGGTGGCGCCCACCTCGTCACTCAGCCGCTGGCAGTCCTCCAGCGCCGTGCGCGCGGCGTCGTGCACCCGGGGGCGCGTGATCAGCTGCTGCTCGTCGTCGTCGTCCTCCCCATACTCGCCGTCGCACCCCGCGTCCTGCACCGCCTGCTCGCGCGCCTGCAAATGCAGGCACGCGGTGTGCGGGGCCAGGAGCGGGGCAGGTGACGCGTGGCCGCAGGTCCTTGTTGCAGCGAGCCGCAGTCGTGAGCGGCGCGCGGG